GAACTGAATCTCGGGTCTATGGGACTTCAGTTTGAAATAATTATGTTTAAATTAGTAGCCATGGGCTAAACTATCTGTGGAATGGAAAAACTGCAAAGTTCTTAAAATGTTATTTTTGAAACTCTTGTATTACAGCTTTTGTGTTTCTCTAGTTAAGTGTGCTGTATTCATTGTGTATCTTTGGAAATTGAACACATACTGAGAAAGGATTTTCCATAAGGAAGGGATTTCAGACAGCTTAACCAGAGAGGGAAGGCAGTACTATGGAAACAGTATTGCTGGTTGCCTTAGGAATAAGGGACCACTTTGTTCATTTTAAGGTTCTGCACTAAGTACCTATTGGAGTCAAGGGAGCCATAGAAATATGGAAACTTGTGAGCCATCTAGTCCATAAGCTGAAGAATCAGACGTTGGCAGAAAGGCAACTAGAACCAAATACATAAGTGTTGAGTCTTGAGTAGAGAAACTAACCATTTAAGAATGGAGCAGTGGATCCGTTCTTTCTGTTATTATTGTTTTTAAACCATCCACCCTGTTGTCTCTTGATTATTGTTATTACTTTTTGTATTTTTCTTCTTTATTTAATCTTGTATCTATAAAACTCTCATGAATATTGTTGATCCTTCCCTAAACAAGAAGGATAACATACATAACGAAGCGATGAATTGTTTACTGTCTGATTGAACCTACTGTCCTTGAGGAACGTTGTCAAGACAGTAAGGAACGTTTGACCAAACAGGTCAATTACTAACTTTTCTTTTCATTTTCATTATTTATAAAATAATATAAGACACTAATTAGAGTTCTATCCTCGTGGGAACGATAATCTGGGCATAATACTCCCATTTATTACTTGATGCGTGCATTTGCGCACTTGGGTTAAACTAAGAGAACAATTGTGTTCTTCCTTAGTGAACTGAGGAACGTTTTCATCATAATACACTTTTCACCCAACAAATTTTAAACACCCAACACTTCCAAAACAGAGGGAAATGGATGATCTTGGAGCACTCTACACCACCCTATTGTTCTGCTACAACAAGGCTACGAAAAATGATCCTCAAGCTTGGTCCTTTACTCCACAAAATAGCTTCTTGAAGCTTCAAATGCCAAGGAAATGGCTCCAACACCACTAACTAGTGAAGTCAGCCCTCAACCCCTTACCACACAATAGCTACAACTTAGAGATGAGTTGCATTTCTCCCTCACAAAGCTTGCTTACACTCATCTATGGTGTTTTGGTGAAGAAAACATGGAGAAAGGTGGTCACTTGGAAATTTTTCTTGAAGAAGAAGGTGGTGGCAAGGTGGAGAGCAAAGTGCAGCTTTTGAGTGTCATGTAGGAGGGTGCATATTTCTGACCTAGGTTAATGTGCTCTCCTATTTAAAGGTGCATTAACTTAATCCCTCATTATTAGTTCTAATAGCTCCGCTAATTATTTTAATCTCAAACTTCATATTCAGAACCTAGCCACTTTTCTAGGAATTATCATATTTTTCTTATAATTTTTGCAGCACTTTGTCGATACGCGTTTTATATGTAGCCGGTATTAGTTCTGACATTACCGCTCATTATTCTAACTCCAAACTTGGTTTCCTTCACCTAGATATTTTTATAGGAATATTTATATTTTTAAGATAATTTTTCGGGTTACTTCACTAGTACGCATTTATACAGCGAAGCAGAACCGATATCTGCACTTTTCGTCTGAAAAGTGGCTTTAAGTATTATTCGACTTTCTAAATATTTATCTTACCATAATTATGCATAATCTTTATCAAATCCATGCTCCGACATCGATAATCTTATTTATTTAATTATTTAACGGTACGAGTTCTTACACTCCTTATTAATACCTCTAAGTCTTGCTTGAATTCTTCTTTTCATTTTGAGCATTTCTAGGAAGGTAGAATAGTGCCAAATCGAGGCAGGTTGTTGGAAAGTATTTCTGGCAGAAATCCAATCCATATTTCTGGCCCAACTAGAGGTGGTAATGCTATCAAATCCCTCATGCAGCAGCCATGCGTCCAGGAATTTGAAAGGATGTGTACCTCTGCTATTATTCATCTGTATGTGCTCCCCCAAACTGATTAGTCTATGATCAGACCCATTAAAGTGGTGGTGAATAACAGTTCTGTCTGGAAAAGATGGAGCCATTCCTCATTAGAAACTGCTCTGTCTAGTCTTTCTAGGAGATTCTCCCTTTTTCCAAGTGAAGTTAAGGCCATTAAACCCCAGATCAGCCAAGCCACAACATTCCAAACAGTCTCGAAATTCTTGGATAGAGTTTCAAGCAGCCCCACTACCACCTTTCTTTTCAGAAGGGCTAAGGTAAGCATTAAAGTCCCCCATAAGAACCCAAGGGCGAGTGGTCAGGCTTTTTATTCTCTCTAGATCATCCCACAAAGTAATTCTTTCCATTCTTCTAGGACTGCCGTAAATGGCTGTGAAAAATTCTTCTTTGACCGGATCTTTCCAAGACAACTTAGTGTGGACAAACTGGTGTTCTGCTTCAAGAATGCTCACTTCTACCTCATTCTTGTTCCACAAAAGACAGATTCCTCCTGAGAAACCAATAGGGTCTTTATGGTATTGGCTGTCAAAACCTATTTTTTATAGATCTTTTCAGCCTTCCTTCCACCGATCCTAGTTTCAATCAACACCAGCAGCTGAGTACGGTTAGCCATAACAAAATATTTTAGGAGGGCAGAGAGACCTTTCTTCCTTACTCCTCTAACATTCCAAGTTCACACTATCATAAGGAAACCAAATCAAGAAGGGGTGGACAGAGAGCCAAGGCACTTAGAGCCTATTTGAGTAGACTTGTACTACCTCATCCAAGGGATTTCTATTAGACATAGAATATTGGTGAGCACGCATCAGTTTCAGGCTATCAGGAGGTTTGTCTTTCTCTTGTCTTAGGGGGCAAGGAGGCTTAGCAGCTTTAGTAGAAGAAATTACCTCCTTATCACTGGACGAATGCTGGGAAGACTCTCTTTGAACCATTGGGGTAGGGGCATGGGCAGAAGGGCCTGTTTTGGATACAGGGGTGGTGCGGCCTTGTTTAGGAATCAAGGGTGAAGTGTTGCCTTTCTTGAAATGCTGGTTTGAAGACTGGCTCCATTTTCCTTGTTTATTTGGTCTCTCGGAGGATCTAACCTTAGTAACCTCACTTCTTTTTTGTTCTTGCTCAATGGGCTGTTGACTTTTAGAATCTTTGGGGGTTTGCTGTGGGATACTACCACCCTTCCTCTTTATCATAGTGAGGTTCTCTGTATCCTGTGTTAATTCTTGATCCTCCATGCTAATAACTTCAAAACGAGAGCCCCCTCCTTTTGTTGGATGTTCTCATTTCTTATCTTTGATTGGGAAGGAACAATCTATCAAGATTGTGAGGGATCATCTATGAGTTTTTTCCTTCTATTAAATTTTTGGACAATCATCCAGCTTCCACGATCTTGAAACTCAACTTCTTTGTGTTTCTGAACTGCATTTGGCAATATTTTCCTGTTTGGTATTTCTGTAGGGGATTCCTTCTGAGGAGAGGAGGTGGTGATGTTCCTTGGGAAAAAATCATGCTTATGACCATACTCACCACAATTAAAACAGATAAGGTGTAACCTTTCATAAGCTACGGGAAAAACTCTGTCCGCAATTCTAAACTTGGCTAGGAAGCCTTTTTTCATATCAATTTCTACGCATACCTAGGGGTGGCAATTCGTGTTCATGGGTCGGGTTCGGGTCAACCTGTGTCTGACACGAACACGAATAGCCTCAACCCGAACACGACACGATTAACAAATCGTGTTATAAAATTCAACCCGTACACGACCCATGTATAAACGGGTTGACACGATATAACCCGAATTTGAGGGCAATCTGTATTTTACACGACACGACCCGACACGACCCGACCCGACACGAGTAATGAAATAAAAGGCTATTCTTTACACTGACCTTACAGGCAAAGTAGAGATGGAATATATTCCTTGAAAAAGAGCAATATTCATATTCAACAGTGATTTTTTTGCTACCTATTTGGTAATGGAAAAAGAGATGTTTCCCTCACTTTTTATTTCCCATTTTCTCAAGAAAGGGAAGGAAATATTGAATTTTATTATTTAAATTTCTTAGAAGCAATAAATTTTATTCAAATTAGAAGAAATAAATAGATAGGGATGAGTATGTAATATATAACATCCTTGTGAACAAGGAGACAAAAACAAAGATGAGAAAAGAAAGCAAGATTGTTAATACAACAATGCAAATCAAGCCCTCTGCATACTTATCAAAGAGACAGCTTGAAGGAGAAGCCATAAAAACAATCCTGTGCTACAATTAATGTAATTAAAAAGATCCATGAAAACCAAGCATATGCAAGAGATGGGTTTAACTTATGATCAGTCACGTGAAAACCAAGCCATAAAAACAATCCTGTGCATACTTCATCAGTCACGTAATGTAAGTCATGGAAATCTATGATCAATGCTAACCTTGTTTAAGGCAAGGCTAAGGCAGTTCTTTGCAGCAGATAAATCTCCTTTCTTCCAAATGCAGTTACCTAAACATAGCCAAGCATCTGCAAGAGATGGGTTTAACTTAACCTGGGGCACAGAAGATTCAATTATAAATCATTCGCTTAAATATCAGTATAAATACGCATTAAATCACAGAAACTAACAATTCAGTCTTGCTTACAGCTTTTGATAGATGATCCTCAGCTTCTTTCCTGTAGTCAGGAAACACATCCAACATCTTCCCTTGACCCGACACGAGTAAACAGAAAGTGATATTAATTCAAATCATATTAAAACTGTTCAATCTAATTCAAATCAAAATAACTTACTACATTGAACTCCATCAATCCAACATCAAAACATAATTAAATGCAACCTACAACAAATTTCTCATTCTTACAGCAACTTCTTCCACCGAAATACAAATTAAGATCACAAATTCAAGATCATTTAACTGATGAAAAATTTGAAATATAAAAGTCATTAAGCAACTGAGTAATTTTGAGCGCCATGATCAGCTATTGAATGTAGATTCATGTCCATGATATCTTCTGTCAATTCTTCCAAAGCTATTGTTGTTTGCTCTATAAAAATAAAAATCAAATGAGTTAATTAAAATCCTTAAAATAAACAGTTAATGAATAAGTGATTGATAATGTATATTACCTTGCTTTCCATATAACCAATCTCTAGTGCAAATCAATGCTTCAACTATGTCAGGTTTGAGTGAACTTCGGTATTGATCAAGTACTCTTCCTCCAACACTAAAAGCACTTTCCGAAGCAACACTAGAAATAGGTATCCCAAAAATATCTCTTGCCATTGCAGCAACTTCTGGATACCTAAATTGATTAGCCTTCCAATATGATAACACATCCAAGCTAATATTTCTTCTGTCAATCCTTGGATCCTCTAAATATAATTCAAGCTGAGTCTTTTGTGGCACAACCACTTCATGAAAAGTATCAAATTCCTAACAATATTATAAAATAAATAATATCAATAAATATACAAAAGAATATAAACAATTACAAGACAAATAATTATGTTAACTTACACTCAAAACATCTCTAGATGTAGTAGAAATTGAGGTTTCATCAATTGTCTCACTCCCACCATCTGTAGCCCTCCTTGTTGAAGAAATAGATGAATAGTTTCTGATTCCATCATTTGCATACTCATTAAACAAGGAAACCAATTTGTCTTTCACCTTTGTGGATTCGTTCACCCCATCATCACCATACAACTTATTGTAGCACCATTCAACAAAACTCATCTTATATCTAGGATCCAAAATGACAGCTATGGCTAAAATCATACTAAATTCAGACCAATATTTGTCAAATTTAGTGAACATCTTTTCAGCCATATTCACAATATAAGCATCATCACTTTTCAATCCTTTTTGTAACGTCAGATGTGCAGTAAAAACATAAGGAAAGTAAAGATTTGCAGTTGGATGCTTGGTTTTAGAGAAGACGCAAGTAATATCATAAAATACATGCAAGAACTCATTGATCTTTTCTATCCTATCCCATTCATCTCTAGATGGACAATATTTGTAGTTGGAATCACTTAACTCAAGGTGCATGAAGGCACGTTTATAGAAGAGTGCACTATCAAGCATAAGAAAAGTAGAATTCCATCTTGTTGGAACATCTTGCCTACAACCTCTTCTAGATGCAAGAGAACTTTGAGCAACACACTGCAAAAAATTTTGTTTCCTTGCTTGTGACCCCTTCACATACTTAACACTTTCCCTAACTTTCACAATAGATGCATCAACCTCTTTCAATCCTTCTTGAACTATCAAATTTAATATGTGAGCACAACATCTCACATGAAAAAACTCACCATTGCATAAAAGTCCACCTCCAATCAACAGTTGATCTCTCAAAAATTGAACACAAACATCATTTGCAGAAGCATTATCCAATGTAATTGAAAAAAATTTCCCATCTAACCCCCAATCCTTCAAAAAGGTGTGAATTTTTTCAGCCAATGAGATTCCAGTATGTGGAGGTGGCATAAACCCAAAATTTAGAACTCTTTTATGCAGATGCCAACTCTTGTCAACAAAATGTGCAGTCAAACATATAAATCCATCAGTGTTTAAAGAAGTCCATAAATCAGATGTTAAACTAACTCTACTGATATTCTCCTTTAACATATTCAAGCATCTATCTTTCTCCCTTTTATGCAACTTAACACAATCGGCCTTCACTGTGTTTCTAGTTATAATATTCAAATTCGCACGCAAATATAGAAGAAGAGCTCTAATGCCTTGCCATTCAGTAAATTGAAATGGCAAATCATGCATAATAATGGCAGCTATCAATAACTCCCTAAATTTCTCATGGTCAAATTTAGGCTCTAAACTGAAGGAGCTATTTTGAGTTGAAAGCATCATCTGCCCAACATCCCTAGTATCTCTTCTCACACATCCATCCAAATGTCGCTTTAAATTACCAGTGCCATATTTACTATCAGCCATGTATAATTGATCACAATACTTACATTTGGCTTGAATTTTACATCCATCCTTATTTATTGGAATGCGCTCGAAGTGTTGCCAAACCTTGGATACTAACTTTCTCGGTTTCTTTGTTGGCGCCTTTGTGCCTGTTGACCCAGCCGTATTATCACCCTCAACATTTGCATCTTGAACATCAACCTCGTGATCCATCATATTCTCTCCACTGCTGTTGTGTGATTCAAAGTCCATCTACATGTAAAAAGGAGAAGTTAGAATATCTATTATATAAATGAGAAAGCAAAATTCAGAATTTACATATATTATATATGGATCACAAAGTTAAAAAGTTTCATGCACAAACTATTCCAATGCAGTTCCAAAGACTAGTGTAAGCAATAGCAACTTTAAAAATAGATGGCAATGCAATAGGAAATGTCCAAGTGCTAATGCAGATTGCCAAGTCTCTAAAAAAAAGACATGTTTGTATTTGTAAGAACTACTGCCAACTATAGCAAGTAATTTATGGAACCAGGATTATGGAAACTTGCAGCGAAGACCAAAAAATTAAGAACTACTGACATGTTTGTAAGAAATTCCTATTCTTCCACTTCTATACTCTAATCAGTTTCTTATGCTTTCAAGACCAAAAGTTTTCTGCTTTAATTTCACTTCATTGATCACCTAATCGTGACCAAGCTGCTCAATGTAGACTACATTGACAAGCTCGGTTTATGCCATCAACAGGGGTCTAACATTGCTTATTTATCTCACATATTCCTCGTCCAAGTAATCAGATCACAGGACAACTAAAGTCTAAAGAAAAACTATTTTCATGCTCGCTATAATTTGATCTTCACATTAAGAAGATATTTAGAATTTTCATAGTTCCTAAGCCACATTAATGTTCTGACTTAGATTAATACACCTTTTAGTCAACAGTGAGAATTTCAATTTCAAGAACACTTCTTTGAATTTGTGAGAGTTATGTCCAAATCGGTCTAAATGAGTAGAAGTAATGAAATAAGAGACAATAAGCTAACTTCTTGTTCTTGAGGCATACTTGGAAACCGAAACAGGGAGAGAGGAAACATAACAACTATCATTCCTAATCTCACATGCAACCGTACAGGGTAGGAGAACAAGAAAAAAAAGAAAACTTCAGAAATCAATTGGTTACCTTCAGAAATCAACCGTACAGAGCTTGAATCCAATTGCATGCAAGAGGAAAGAGAAACTCTTCCACGGCTGGTCAGAACTCAGAAACGGGAAACCTGCAGTGGAATGAAAGAAAGACCCAAATTTAAGCACGATTGATCACAGAGGGGAACAAAACAGAAAAGGTAAACGTCTTACCCCTTTGTTTGCTGGTGCGCAGCTGAAAGAGGAGAGGAAACACGAGCGTATTTGTAGGTGCCTCACCTTCAAGGACCGAGTTAAACAACGCACACAAGAAGAAACCCCTGGAGGCGAGAGCAGACAGCGTAGAGAGGCGAGATAGAATAGAGCTGCGTTGTTAAATGGAAACCCTAAACTCTAAAGGGCTAAGGCGTATTTGATACCAGATTTTTTACGGGTCAAAGTGGGTTCACGGGTTGACCCGTGACCCGACACGATTTTTTCGTGTCACTATTTTCCAACCCTAACACGACCCATTTACTAAACGGGTTGACCCATACACGAAATTTTCGTGTCGGGTCCGGGTCGGGTTCGCGGGTCGTGTCACAAATTGCCACCCCTACGCATACCCTAGCAAATTTATCCTTCTTTGTGAACTCATCCACACCAGACTCTCCTAGTCTGATAGAGTTTCTGTCAATTTTTATAGTTCTGCCGAATGAATTGCCTATATTTCTAAGATGCTTAGATTTATAGAACTCAAGGGGAAAACCTGGGATGCGAATCCAAATAACCAGCTTCCTCATACTGTCATCATGGGGGTTGAACATAGGTCGCCATTTCTGCACGGTAACATAGTGGTCCGCCACTATCCAGGGTCCTTCCTCCAATATGTGCTTATAGTCTTGCTCGTCCCAAAGTCTTACTAGGTAGAAGTCATTATCTAGGTCCACAAATTCGTAAGGACCTTTGATACTCCACATTTTCGGAAGACGATTCATCAAGAAACACATTCCTTCTTCTTCCCCAAAAGCTTGAAAATCAGAGCGTTTCTCCATTCCTTGCAGTCCTCTTTGTGCTCCTCGCTAGGGATTTGGTACATAGGACAAAGAGTGTCATCTTTCCAGATTTCAGATCTTCCTTCCAGAGCCTCTTCAAAGGCGTCAACTTTCTTCTGCTGAAATACCCAATATTCATCACTGCTCTCTACATAAACTCCAACCCCATTTAGGTTGTGGTTAAGGAGTGAGTCTTTATAAGATACTTGTTTCTTTTTCTCAACCTCAGCTTCCTTGATGTTCGGTTCCCCCAAAGTTTCTGGTTCAATCGTTGCTTCAGATTTCTGCGATTTTGCTTCCACTTGGACACCAGCGTCTCTCATCTGCATGTGTTCATCCATGACCGCGTCTTGAATTTCAAGCCCCTTAGGTTTCTTCGTGCTACGTTTCAGATTGTCATCTTCCTCTTTAGGAGCTGGTCTGGTTTCTCCCATAGAGAAAGAGCGGAGAAAACCCTAATAGACGAAAAGAAATCGCATGTGTGAGATGCACGCGTTTGTTGTAGTTGAGTTTGAACATGTTTGAATTTAGAATTTTCACATATGCATTAATTTCTGGTGAAATATTGCATCTTTTCCTATTTCACTTTTATATTGTGTTTTTATTTTATTTTATTTAATATGCTCATGTGTTTGCCTCGTTATAATAAAATGTCTATTTTATATTAATATTTCAATTTTTTTTTAAATCCATGTTTAATTCTTTTGCCACTTTAAAATTTGAGATTTTTAAAAATTAGAATCTCAAATAACTTTATCATTTTCCTATTCCCTTAAAATTCCGATTCAACCGTTCCACAGATTGATAGGTTAAAATTTAGAGTAAATATCCTTTTTGGTCCTCAGCAAATTTCACGATGCCCGTTTTAGTCCTTAGCAAATAAAAAGACTATTCGTGGTACATAAGAAATTCAAAATGGACCTATTTAGTTGAAATCGTGGTCCCTTACAAATTCAAAAAAGACCTATATTTATCCCTTAAAATAACTAAAATGGATTCACTTTGAATTTATTAGGACCACGAATAATCTTTTTATTTGTTAGGGATTAAAGCGAGCATCGTACCGAGAAGGGTATTTAGTATTTACTCTAAAATTTATATTCCATCTTTTACCAAAACAAAAATAATAAAATATATAATCCCCCGCCTAAATTATCGAGAAGTTTCATCTTAGAACCCTGTGTCTTGGGGACTGTTAGAGTTCACGATTTCTGATTGTCGCAACCATGTCTGTGCTTCCCAAAACAGAGAAAAACGACGTCCCCGTCGTCGACATTGACTCCGGTGACGACGCCGACATCGCCGAAGTCGCCGCTCCTACAAAGAACGCCGCGTCTTCGCAGAAGACTCAATCGGTGGCCGTGCCACAAGTTGAGGTTCAGCAGCAGGAAACCCCTGCGTCAATTTCAGCTCCTTCGATCTCTGACCGCCAAACCCTTGATTCTCGAAGTTTCTGGAAAGCTGGAGATTACGTTGTTGGTCCCGCTTCGAAGCCAGCGCCATTTCAAGGTTTTGCAATTTGCACATTTAGCCCTGTGGCTTTTATTTTTATTTTTTGTAATTTAATTACTACAATTCACATCATTCTCTTACTGATTTTACCCAAATTTCAGGTCACTTGGAACATGCCCGGGTTCATCCCAAGTTTCTTCATTCTAACGCAACTTCCCATAAGTGGGCTTTTGGAGGTGTGCTTTCTTTAGCTCACTTGTATTTCTAACAATAATTGCTTGTAAGAACAAATTTTGCTTGTTGATTTGATTATAAATAGAATTCTTAGTTTGAGAGTTTTGAAATAAGAATTGATTTGCCTTTGAAATCTTTTATAATTTTTTTTTTTTTTTTTTAAAATCCTTTAACCCTTATTTTTGTTTTGCCTGGTTTAGCATGTAATTATCTGTTCGTCAAGATACGTATGATTTCTTTTTTGGTTTTGTTTTGTTGGAAGATAGTGGTTGATCTTTCATGCAACTACTGCAAATTGCTACCACTAATGAAGTTGGTTGCTTGGCAAGGCTAGAGCCAGACACAAGTTATGCTCTCAGTCTTTATGAAGTTTTAACTGGGAAATAGCAAACGAAGACCCTCTTTGTGTGCATCCAAGAAGTTAAAAGACTTGGTCATATTTTATTGATTTAGGTTTCAAATTTCTGTATGAGTTTGTTTCTATGACTTCGGTGGGGAAATGGGGAGGGTTAGTAATAAAAATAATGGGCTTCATAGTTGATTTTGGATTGCATGAAGAAGAGTATTTAGAATATCTTAATGCTTCTTTTAAATGTTGAATGAAGACCCTTTTTTTTTATTTTTTGGCGACAACTTTGTCAGAATTTCAGTATATGATGCACTTATCTTTTATTCATATGTGCCTTTCATTATTGGCAGCTATTGCTGAGCTAGTGGATAATGCTGTTGATGAGGTATGATTTAAGTAAAAAATAATCTACTCTTTTCTAGCCTGTGAGATAGTTCTGTTAATCCACGTGAAGATATATGGTTAAATGTTAGTTGTTGGCTTTAAGTGCTCTCCCGGTTGGCTTTATATTATGGCATTTCAAAATTGGTCTACCAACATGGGTTGGCTCCCCTGGTTGAAGGATTGGATAAAAATTTGTGTTCTCCATGTGAATGGGTTATAATCCCCTTTGACTAGTAGTCATGCTCGGTGATCATTCCTCCCCTGGAGATTCCGTGGTACCAAGGTAGTTAAAATTTCTTTTATATTATGATCTTATGATTTTTATCTCCTCTTACGTTCCTGTTTGCACCTTAGATCATGTTTTGTTAAGATTAGGTGAGATCGCCGTGCATGATCATGGGATTGTAGGATTGGAAGATCTCACCAATCCTTATGAAAACCCTTTTTCCAAAACCCACTCACTCAACTGAAACCTGATCTTTACCCAAATTTTAACCCCCATTTTGTTCCTGTTTCTATTCTGTTCCAAAGCTTAATGAGACGAATCGTGCTACTGGTGCTGCCAACTGTTGGTGTTTGTGTTCTGTTGTTACTGGTTCGACCTTTTATTCTTCGTCTGGTCTCTTCTGTATTGATCCTGTTTCCTTCTCTTCGAAGGCCTACCCTTGTTTCATAGCTTTCAGTATCTTCTGCTGATTCAATCTCTTGCTTTTGTTACATGCTTCTGTTGAGCAGCAATCTACTCTAATTCTATTTGTTATTGTGATTCTGTTAGGGTACTTCTAATTTATGTTTTTTGAGTTATTTTTTAAATTTGCATATTAGTACAAGTGGATACTTTAATAATTTAATAAATAATAATATTTTATTATATTTACAAGGACTAAAGTGGACTAATGAAATATTAATATTTTAAATTTAATTTAAGATTTGTCTTTTTATATTAATATTATATGCCATGTATCTTATAATTTTTAAATTTTATCGTATTCATATATCATAATCATATCATATTCATATCTTGTATTTGTTTTAGTGCTTCCTAATTGTATCTTTAATTTTTATCATCATTCATCATTCTTTTAAATATTTTAAAATAAATATAAAATAATAAAATTATGAATGCATGCTATTAGTATTTTAATTAATAATTTTTTAAATAACAATATAAAATATGTCGATGAGTATCTTAATTTAAGGTACTGCTTAAGGATTAAACATAAATTATTAAGTAAAAAATAAAACACTTATTCACTATAAATATAAATTCTATTCCTTTATTTTTCTTATTTATGTTTATTATATATATATGTTTGAATGTAGTTTTATATTTTAGGTAGGATCTTATTATCCGTGTTATGATCACATGATTTACGTGTTTTCATCTCCTGATTATAGATAGGATCTCGATTTTGACTATCTTCCAGGGAGTTGAGTAGCCTCCTTGTGGGAAGAAATACTTGAAGTTGGAGACTTGAGGTAATCCTATGGGTGGGTTTCTACCTGCCCCTCTAGGATCTTAGTCTCTTAGACATGTTACTAGTGTCCTGAGTAGTAGTCTTGGAGTAATCTATACTTTGAATTGAATGAAAGTATATTTTCATAGTTCGAATGGCACTTAAATATATATTTTTAATTTGAATCAACAATATCTCAGTGGTATTTTCTTGTCTGTAAAACTGCATAATGACGTGCATGCTTGCAAACTTACCTCCAATCAAGCCTTGCCAATATGGTGGAACTTTAAAACAAGCTATTTAAAAACTGATGTTTTTATAGAGCTTGACTAGTACTGAATTTTGGTTTGTACGTTTAGATTCAAAATGGTGCAACTTTTGTAAAGGTTGATAAGCTTGATATCATGGAGGATACTTCACCAGCATTATGTTTCCTGGGTATGCTATCCAAACATTTTTTATTGGCTTGATATGTTAATTATTGGCAACAAAGGCTTACTGGAGTACATGTTTTGTATGAAGATGATGGTGGTGGAATGGATCCTGACTCGATACGAAAATGCATGAGCTTGGGTTATTCCTCAAAGAAGTCAAAGACAACAATTGGACAGTGTAACTGAATTTATTTTATTCATTTCTTTTTCCACATATGACTTAAAGAAGTCTACTCCCATTATATTTTTTACTAGTCCATATACGTTTCTGTCTTTTTAAGAGGAGGCTGTTTGTATTGTTTTCTGTTTTTTTTTAGTTGATATATTTTCACAAATAATTACAAAAGCACCATCTAGTTTTCATTCAGTTTCTGATTTTCAAGATTTTGTGAATGGTTGTTTTCATTTTGTTTCCTGTTTTCAAGATTTTGTAAAGGAGACAAAATAATGACCAAATGAAAAAAATAAAAAAAAAAACCAAACAGTCGTAAAGGATACATTATTTTGGTGAGATAACTGGTTATATTGTTAGTTATATCCTTACATGATTATTTTGTTGTTTTCTATGTCTCTGTCATTTTGTCCAATCTGTAGGTTATAATCCAGACACCTAGGTGTTAGAGCAATTAAGTTTACATTCCTTGTTTTAGGATGAACACGATGATAGTATCTCCCCAGGGATGCCATGACACATTAATACCTCTTTTTTTTATTTTTTTTATCATGACTACAAGTTCCTGGAAGATATACCCGTGCTATTAAGTTACTTGTCTATTATTCTTACCTTATTCTGTAAAGTATTTCCTTTCATTTTTTTGTTGGCTGAATGTGATTAGATGTGATAAAACCTAATTGTTTTTTTCAAAGTAAAATAACATCATGTGTTCCAGATGGCAATGGATTCAAGACTAGTACTATGAGATTGGGTGCTGATGTTATTGTTTTCAGTCGTGCAACGCGTTCAAGGTACATTTTCATCCTTTATATATTGGTTTATGTGATTGGATTTTAATTATCTTAGAATTTGTTTGATTTTCATTTTCAGTTGTTATTATTTTCCCTAATTTTTACCAAAATACCACCTTGTTTTTCACTTTAATTATAGTTTTCAAGAATTTACAAAGGAAAATGGTCAAAACAAGGTGACATTTTTGTAGTTGAGTGAAAACAAGAAACGAACCAAACGGACCCTTATTTCCTGTCCTTTTTAAAAATAAAAAAATAAAAATTGGTCTTCCTTCAGATGTTAACTATTCACTCGAACTGTATGGGAAGATTTAATGAGCTATGTGCAGTGCCAATGATACCATAGTGTACTAGTAGATTGTTGACAAGCATAAGTGCTTGAATGTTTGCATTACTGAATACCCAATATTTTTATTTCTTTGTGCTGATGGCCATATTTGACATGATTAACATCCATTTTAGAGAACTGGTATATATAATTGGTTTCAAAGTTGGGGTTTGGTTGGGACATGTTTTCATGTAATGTAGATGTGGTGTCCCCCATGTTTTCTTGCTCTTTCTGTGGAATAAATTCCTGATTCACATGGCACACTTTTTTGGAGAGGAGTGACTATAAAACAAAAACGGAAAATTTGTTGATGTGTGGTCTGGTAAGTGGTGAAAGATTTACCTAGTATGGTAAGTAGTCCTTAGGGCTTAATGTTTTGAAAGATGGTAATCAATTAGTGTATATAGGCCTATGAAAGATTTATCTCGTGTTGGGGGGTGTGTTAGAGAATAATATAAATCGTTAAAAAGGCCCTCACCCAACAACTTACGTTTTTGAGTTGAATTGATTCTTTACAAACTTCAAGCCTGAATTTCGAGCACTGAATATGTGGGCTGGGTGCCTGGGCACAATGAGAATTCTTTTTATTGGCAAACATTCTTTTCGTGGTCATATTTTTAAGTGGCACTTGTCATTACCTAACCACTCCGGAGTGTGCCTAATGATCTCCCTGTTCTCATCTATTTATCATAAATTCCCCGCAAATACTTGATCAATTGCCCATAATTATGGAATCAATCTCCCATAAATCCACTATATAAATACAAAGTCAAATGACCCATAATTATAGAATCAATCACCTAGGCAAAATCCTCTACGACTCTTCCTAGAGTACACCTGTAGGTTGGTGTATTCCTATTAATATTTCTACCTAAAACTTTCACTTTGTCCTCTAGGTGCGGATAAGCATGCAAAAAACCTCGCTTGGGTCCCACTATTTAAAATGTAAGGACCCATTTATGCAAGAAGTATAAGAACTTTAACTGGGATCCCATTGCAATTCTGCAACACCCATTGGTTGAGGATGATAGATCTGTAGCTTGGGATCTCACGGTTGATCATGTTCGATGGCTCCGGCAATGGATGTGGGTCGATTAGAACCACTGGTGGCCATGGCGATGTCGGTACTCGCGCACGCTTTGTTCTACTTTGGTTGTTCATCAATGGCTTCCTTTATTCGTTGTTTCTTTTCTGTAGTTCCCTCTCATTCGCACATTGGAAAAATCTTTTGGTCTCAATTTATCCTTCGCTTTTGTCTAGACTTCTGTCCGATATAAGCTGGGAACACTTTGTTCATGTTTTGGATTATGGTTGCTTGAAAGTTCTTTGGGACCTTCCCCCTTTATTCATGATCCTTTGCATCTCGAAAATGCTTCTTGATTGTAGCCTCTACATTGTTTTTGTTAGAATATTAGATATGATATGATTAGATTTGATTAGATATAATTGGATTCTGTCTTATCCGTAAATAGTCTGACTGTATTCTGACTGTATTAGGATTAGGTTTGGATTAGGTTTGGGCCTTACACTTAAGCCCATTAGGGTCTCTATATATTGTAACTCCCTGACACAGATCAATACACAACGTATTCTTTTACATTTAACTTGGTATCAGAGCTATTTCGTTCTGGGAACCCTCGCTTCCGCTTAGAAATCTTGTTCTTCGCTTTAAAACCTAAGCTCACTGCTTAGGAGTCATCTTTTCTTTGCCGTGCGTCCTTCCGGTAAGATATCAAAGGCTGTAAGTCCTCTCCAGGCATCTTCTGCACGTGTCCACAGTCACCAGAGCACCATCAGCCACCGTCAGCCACCATCAGCCACTGTTCAGGCTGCCGGAGTACTTTTCCGGCGAGTTTTCAGTCTGGAACGAACGCGAACAGAACCCTCTCCTCCCGGCGACCTGCTCTGTGGAAGTCCGGCCACCATCGGAGTTGTCACGCGCTCTCACGCGCCTCCAGTCTTCTCTGCGCGTGGGCTTCACGCGCCACCTTCTGCCGGCGCGTGAGCACTATTCCGGCAGCTTTTTCCGGCCGGTCTTTGACAGAGAAGCTCGTCTTCTCCTCCTCTTTCTGGATCTGTGGTTGGTTCTTTGTGGGTCCGACTTTTTGTGCGCACCTCTTCTTGATTGGTGATCAGGTTTGTCTCTCTTTATTCGGTTTGTATCTTTGTGATTTGATATGGCAGCAAACCCTCCAATTCATTCGGAGGTCAAGATATCATCTCTACCAATATTGGGTCCATTACCTCTTCAAAATTGAAGGGATCTGTTAATTACAAGAACTGGGCCACCTCTGTTCGAGTTTGGTTCTTTGGACAAGGATATGGGAACCATCTCACAACTAAGTCTACTGATGTCCCTAAGGAGGACAAGTCTGATTGGGAAAAGATTGACAACCAACTTCTGAGTATCCTCTGGCAATCCATTGATCCGATTGTCTTGGATATCTTTTATTCATTTCAAACTTGCACTGAAGTGTGGGAGGAAGCAAAAAACCTCTACACTAATGATGTTCAGCAGCTCTATTTCATCATCTCTCAGTTTATGGAATTGAGCAAATCATCCGACATTCAGATGGAGACATATATTGGCAAGAGTCGCTCTTTGATGCAGGCATATTTGGATATGCTGCCTTACCCTACTGATGCTACTGCATATCGGAAACAGGTGGAACGTCTCTTTATGGTTGCCACACTTTCTGGCCTTCCCGAAGAATATGATAATGTTCGTGATACTATCTTGACTAGTGGGGAGCCTGATCTATCCATGACGTATCAGCGTCTTCTGAATTTGAATAAGAAATCTGCTCCTGCATCGTCTTCTGCTGTTGATTCTACTGCTCTAGTTTCCCGTACTGATTTTCGCGGGCATATTGGAGGTGGACGTGGTCGTGGTAGAGGCCCAGGAGGCCGTGGCCCAGGAGGCCCAGGAGGACGTAGCCCAGGAGGTCGTGGCCCAGGAGGCCCAGGAGGTCCAGTCGGACGTGGTCAGCGACCTCGTTGTCATTACTGTCAGCAACTTGGTCATTATGAGGAACGCTGCTACACCAAGTATCCTCACATGCGACCTTCTTTTGCTGCTAATGTAGCTCAATCGGATACTGCTTCAAATGGTTCAGTCTCTCTCTCCTCTGAAGAATATGCAGCATTCCAGGCCCTTCTCAGGAAGTCCTCTCCTCAATCTCAGGCCTCTGCTTCAGAAACTGGTAATCCTGTTGCTTGTGTTTCTCATTCTGCATCACTTGGTCCTTGGATATTTGACTCAGGTGCTACTGATCACCTCTGTGGTAATAAGGAACTCTTTTCTTCCCTTACATATTCTAATAATTTACCCTCTTTTACTCTTGCTGATGGAACTAAGGCCCCCGTTCATGGGATTGGACAAATCTGTCCAACCTCCTCATTGACCTTGACATCTGTCTATTACATTCCTCACATCCCTTATAATTTAATATCGGTTAGTAAATTGATCAATTCTCTTAATTGTATTGTCACATTCTCAAACCATTCTGTTTCTGTGCAGGACCCGGGTACGGGGAAGATGATTGGAGTGGGCCGTGAGTCACGGGGTCTGTTCTACCTTGATGTGCCGAGTCCTTCAGTTGCTTGTTCTCTCACAGAATCTCCACAGCTCATCCACAGTCGTCTCGGGCATCCTAGTCTTGCGAAATTGCAGAAGATGGTTCCTCTTTTATCCGGTCTTCAAACTTTAGATTGTCAGTCATGTCAGCAAGGAAAGCACATACGCTCCTCCTTTGCTAATCGAGTCAATAAACGAGCTGATGCTCCTTTTTCAATTATTCATTCAGATGTTTGGGGTCCTAGTCGTAGTGTGTCTATTTTAGGTTTTCGGTATTTTGTCACCTTTATTGATGATTTCTCCCGTTGTACTTGGATTTATTTAATGAAAAACCGCTCTGAGTTGTTTTCTATTTATCAAAAGTTTTCTGCTGAAATTCATACTCAATTTGGTGCTTCTATTCGTATTTTACGTAGTGATAATGCTAAGGAGTATGTTTCTGTTGACTTTTCTCACTTCTTAGCCACACAGGGTACTTTACACCAAACCACTTGTCCTCACACTCCACAACAAAATGGAGTAGCTGAACGTAAGAATAGACATCTCATTGAGATTGCCAGGACTCTTCTTATTCACATGCATGTTCCTCTTCACTTCTGGGCTGATGCAGTCCTTGCTTCTTGCTTTCTCATCAACCGCATGCCTTCATCTGTGCTTAATAATGATATTCCTCATAACTTATTGTTTCCAGATGTTCCTCTCTTTCCTCTATCCCCACATGTTTTTGGTTGTACCTGTTTTGTTCATGATCTCACTCCTGGTAAGGATAAGTTAACATCCAAAGCCTTTAAATGCATTTTTCTTGGTTATTCTCGTCTTCAAAAGGGTTATCGCTGTTACTCTCCTGACCTCAAGCGTTACTTAGTTTCCGCGGATGTCACCTTTTTTGATCAACAACCCTTTAATTCTATCCCATCTCCATTGTCACAGGTTGATCATGTTCTTCCTGTTCCTTTTCTTGACTTGTCTTTGCCAGATGCAGGTGCTTCTACTCCAGATAAGCCATCACCTATTGCTCCAGTACCTAAGGACCGTCCACTTCTCACTTATCAGCGTCGTAAGACAGTACCTCCAGTCGACTCGACCCCTGCTGAC